TATTGAGGTCCTTGCTCATGACTCTAGACACAGGTCCCAGCTCTGAATTAGGAGCAGAGCCAGTGCTCACAGGAGGCCCTGCAGGTTCACAGGAAGAGGCCTGCGTTCTGCCCAGATGCCTTTCGGGGGTTGGAAGCTTTAACAGGAACTGAGAAAGCAGCCAGGGAAACACAGCGAGTAATCTCCTGCAACCCAGCCCTCATTGCCTCCAACGTCAGAAATGCATTCCAGCCTCCAGCGGAAACATCAGCTTCGCAGGATAAATCCAAAGTCAGTGGTGGTTATTAAGTGCCTTATTCTTCAGGGCCCTGGTCAGCAATATTTCCAAGTGCCAGCTTCCTCTGCGACCTTCAGAATGACCAGGTGAAAATCCAGAAAGCACGAGCTTTCGCCCAGCATGTGAGATCTGGATTTGAGTCTTTGTCCCTTTGTGTGTCACTGGGACAAGCACCCCAACCAAGACTGGGGAGCTCAGGGTGATGCAGGCAGCAGGAAGTGGCCCCCTGGCAAAGCCACATCATCCCATGCAACATGGTCACCACCTGCCTTGGGTGATATGAAGGACATCGCCAGGACAGACAGGGAAACTGAGGCTCCAGTCTTGACACACACCTTCATTGCATCAGGGTGCAGCCTGATGGCAGGCTTCCATTTGAAAACATTATACATCTCAAATGTAATTAAGAAATTTCAACTGCCATGAATATGTAATATACACGCTGCTCGCAGATGCCTTTTCTGCCCGACAGGCTGGTGCCGACTTTAATTTGGAAGAAATCCATTTTCATACAAAGGTAACCAAGAGTGACAAGAAATAGGAAACCTACATCATTTATCTTCCGTGAACTTGAAAAAAAATTAGTTAATTGCTTTTCTAGGAAGCTATTTTATGGAATCACTGTGCTCCATCTACTCCTGTTCATGGCATAGGCAAGTGTTTTTTAAATACCCATCATGAAAAGGCTGTGATTAATCAATAGAACTTAAACTATTTCATTACATGTTTTAACAAATAAAATTCTGATCAACAAAAACATTCACTCTGTTCTTGGGGATAAATTAGTAACCACAACTGCAACTTCCAACACGCAGTCTATTGATACTCAAATTTAGGGATCTGATTCCTAACCAACTAAGCCAGAGGGAAAGAGGCTTCCCACGCTTTCTGGCTTCCATGTGCTTCATTCCCAGCCATCAGAGCCCTCTGCCATAGCAGACTCAAATCAGCCCTATTTATTAAATTGATAGCAAACAAGTTAACACGTGTAGGGTCTGGAATAACACTGTGGGAACTATAGCTTGCCAAACAAACCAAATGCAGTTTCTATCTAGAGCTGGAATTGTATGCTAAGGGCAATGTGTGTGCAAATGGGGATGGGGAACACTTTCCTTCACTAGGAAATACAATTTGCCATGCCCTGTTCTAGAATGTTCTAGAATGTTCCAGAATGCATGCTTCAGCCATTCCTTAAATCCATTGTCTCTTGCCTAACAGTAAACACCTTCCAAGTGGGCCTCCTGGGAGGCCCTCTAATGAGGGGCGGCGCCGAGAATAAGAGACATGGCTATAACAACAAAAATATGTTTTTCATTAAATACAAAACCGAGCTGGGAAAAAAATCAGCCAAGAGGCAGGTGTATCAGTTGAAGAATTCCCTCGAGGCCTTTAACTTCCACATCAAATTGCACTGGATTTTTCTACACTAATTACCTATTATTGAGGACTAAAGAATTATAACAAATAATTTGCCGTGGCAGCAGATAGAGTGCAGATGTTGTAAGGGAAAGAACAGGGAGTTTATGAAGTGTAAAATCAGGCAAAACACATTCACAAATTCTCCATCTTAAAAAATAACACAGAATTATTTTTCCACTGCAAGGATGATGAAGCTGAGGAAATTTTCCTAGGGCTAGAAGGCCAATTTTAAATTTAGTTTGGATTGTGAGTGCAAGAAACTGCAAATTAAAAGCTAAGAATCTAATTTATTCCATTCATGTAGATAGACAGCCTGAAGGCAGAGATCACATCCCAGATTTTATTTTTTCTTAATTTCCCACATTAGAATACACCAAGTCATTGATCTGGTTTTCTTCTGAGAAATGTACCTTCTCTCCGCGAAACAGCTATTTTGCGGCCCCTTTGTTTTTACATAATTTTTAGCTAATGCTTCCTTTTAGCCTCTAAATACTTCACATTGTGATAATCGTATTCTGCTGTGAACATCCTGAATAACTCATCAAGTAAAGCCAGTTCCCTTCAGGTCATTTTTCACCCTGTAAACTTCCCTAGGAAACAGCTTCCTTACCTCATTGGAAATTAATGGCAGTACTACTGAGTTGAAATTTTCACAATTGTGGCATCCATATTAAAAATATACACAAGTACAACTACTCTTGAAATGGTTCGCTACATTGTTATTTCACCTCTTCCAAAAGAAGTAAAAAGCATATATTCCTCCAAAGTAAATCTCATTGATAAAATTCTTCAGTTTCTATGTTGTGGTCTAGGATCATGTAGAAATGATCTACAGATATTGAACAATGTACCTACAAAAGGATATCTGTTAATTGTCCTTGGAATGCTGTCAGAAAACAAACAATAAAAAACCCTTGTAGTTGAAGGGAGGAAAAATGACTTACAGATACTATTTTACTGCTATCAATGGAAGAGTCCTTTTCTTCCTTTGATGATAAGCTTATCTTATTAATCAAGATTCAGGGTATAATACTTTTCTCAGTGAGCGAAGGGCTTTACTACAGTAAAGATTCCAACCCTCCCTCCTAAAAGATCCCCTACCAATTAAAGCCTTACTCAACAAACAACACCTTGCATGTCTCTTTTTAATCAATGACAATCGGTCTGATGTATTCAGGGCACAATGCCAGAAGGGTGACAGGCTGGCAGGTTCAGTGTCCTTACACGAAGGGGAAATGAAATCCGTGTCATATAAAGATTTGATTTCTCTAAGTACACCTCTCCGTGTCAGGCATGGCCCCTCTCTGAGATGAGTGAACAGTAGTAGGCATGTCATTCACAAACTGATCTGCAAAGGGCAAGTTGTTAAATGACATATGCAAAAATCCCCTGTACGGATATCTACAGAAGACTACTATCAAAAATATGCATCTTTTCCTTTTAACCTGACTTGTAGTGACATACCAGGTTCCAAAATGAATAAGCATATTATTACCTAGTAACGTTAAAGTTGCTTTGGTAGATAAACAACATTTTGGAAAGATATGGCTAGAGATCCACGTTATAAAGGGATGGATTCCTGTGCTTTCAGTCAGTCACCACGCTAGTGGTCATCGGGCAATGAAGACAAAAACCCATGAGCCTGATGAGTTCAGTTGCATAAGACGGTCTTCATGTGTGTTTTCTATGGACTTTAAAACATAAATGCTTGTAGAAATTACATTTTGCCTCCATTAATTCATAATGAGCACTTTCTAGAAGCCCATTGGAAATGCATAATCAAAAGAAGTTACTGGGGTCTGTGTCACTGACTCTCCTCATTAAAACCTGTGTAAACATTTCTGAGAGTTTGAAGGACATCCCTTTGAAAGGCGACATGTTCAGCTCCCAGATAGCCCATGGGGACATCTGAGGAAAGCTCAGCAATGTATGAGCTTGGCTTCATCAGAGATGCAACAAGAAATGTCAAATCATTTGTTTCATTTGGCTATTAAATCAAATGAATCAAAACAAGAGTATGCTGGTCACATTGTTACTCCATCTTTAAAAAGAATATGTTAGCCAGGCATGGTGGCACAAGTCTGCGATCCCAGCCATCTGGAAGGTTGAGGCAAGAAGATTGCAGCTGGCCAGGCTGGGTAATTTAGTGACCAGCAAGACCCTGTTTCAGAATAAAAAGAAGTAGATCGGTGAGAAGGTCCTAGCTGCAATCCCTGATACCCAACAAGAAAAAAAAAAAAAAAAAAGAGTTATATTAAGAAGTAAAACAACTCAATAGTTCCCAGATACAGTGTTTGGCGACTCGGGCAGTTGATATTCCATATCATAGGAAAGCAACAACAAATACACTATGTCTTGTTTCTTCTTATGGCTCTTAAAAATTATCAATTTGGAATATAGTACAATAAACACTTCCTCAAAACAAAGCTTCATTTCCTGCCCAGGTTTACTGTTCAAGTGACTGGAACCTGCCTTTGCTGCCAGCTGTCACCAAGGCATTGCTCATTCAGAATTCCAAAATTCAGCACATTCACACCACTCCTTTTATAATACAAACAGCAAATAACTTAAATAGAAATGCAGACCGGAAAAATAAGGACTCAAATACATCACTTGGTTCACCAACTCACACAACTGAAGATTACTTTTATAAGACAAAGAGCATTCAATAACAATTCTTATCAACAGGAATGAATCTAAATCTTAAATATTACAAAGGGGATGGGCCATCTGGGACATCTGAGTATTCATCGTATTTCAAATTCAATACTTTAAACAAGTACTTTAAAAAGTATTATGCATTTTCTGTATGGATTTTTCTATAGGACATTTCAAAATCAGTTTTTAAAAAATGTTAAGATTTTGAGTTTCTGAATTCTTTTTTACACTCTACATGTTAAAAATTATAGCCTTAGAAATGCTTCTATTTCTAATACATCTATCTCAGTCAACACTAACTTGCTCACAAAAAATGTCTTCAACTATAGTGAAGAAAGCATTCCTTCCCTAACTGTAGCCTACACACACACACACACACACACACACACACACACACACACAGGCACACAACTCCACTTGTTAGTACTTTAAAAATTCCAATTATAGTGAATTTGAGACATTAAGAAACCATTATTTATGTCTGTTCATCTCATCAGGAATTGGTACAAATCCCGCCATGCAAACTCACCCATATCACCAGAAAAAAAAAAAAAAAAAAGATGCCCAGATGTCAAATTTTCCACCATCATCGAGCCCGTATGCGGCTTTTTCGGTTGCATGGAAGTGGTACTAGGAAAGGACTCACCTCGCCTTGCTTAGGGCCGCTGAACTTGGACAGCTTGGCCCTGGCCCTGGCTGACTCTGGCTTGCCAGCTGGGACTCCTCTGTAGGACGCGCAGTGCACTCCAGCTTCCGTGGAAGACTTCAGCTTGGGAGACTCATCAGGGGCTTGATCCTGGCCATCCATCGGCCGCACATAGGCAGTTGGTTTCTGCTGGAGCAGGCTGGGTTTTGAAGCCAGGGAGGGAGGAAAGTTCTGAACACAGTGTCCACCACTGCTGGGCTTCGTGGCCATCGCAGGTGGCCTTTCCTGGGTTGGAAGCCCCACCTCTACGCTGCACGTTTGTTTGGTCCGTGACTGCTGTCTGCCAACGCCTTCTCCAAGCAAGGTCCTGAGAGAGCCCTGTTGTGCTGAGTTGAAAGAAGAAGAGGCGAATGAGCGGCAGCCTAGGTTTTCACTCTGCTTCTCTTGGGTAAGCAGATTGTGCCATGCAAGCGCCCTACGCTCCTGCTTACCTGTTCTTTGCTGGCTGTCAGACGGCGGGTGCCCAGCCTTCTGCCAGCCCACAGTGCCTCTCTTACTCTGCTGCCCGGGGCCAGCGGCTGGTGTGGATGATGCAGTGCTACAGACAGATGGGGGCTGGGACTGGGCTCTTGAATCTGCAACAAAACGTTCATCGATCTTGTTCACAGGAGTCTGAGGAACCCCTGGTTTGGGGACGCCAACAAGATGACTCTGATTGGATCTATCGGTTAAAAAGTCTTTCATGTCATCATAATTGCCTAAAGTATTCTGGATCCGGTTGGAGAGCTCATCCCCCTTGTTAGTCTGGAGAAAGAAAAACACATCCATGCTATGGTTAGAGACAACAGAAACAGGGAACAGCAGACGGGTGCCTTCATGGGTCACACAGCCAGGCTAGCCACACTTAGAATGAGAGCTCAGAGATGAAATCAAAATCTTCATGGTCTCTGCAGACACCTGTCAGCTCTCCGCCTCACTCCGGAACTGGAAGCCTGTGAGGAGCGGTCTAAGGGTATATAAAAGGAGTCTACCCTTGATATCATATTGCAAATTATACCACCTGGAAGTCAGAAAACCAACTACCAAATTCACAATGTGGTCTAGATTAGGTCTTCCAGGACTGGATTTTCTTTTCTTTTTTCTTGCAGTTCCACTGGAGGATTTTTTGGTAAAACTTCAGAGTTGGTTCAGAACTGGTCTGCTTCCAATTTCCAAATAGGTAATTATTCTTGTCAGAAACCCAGAGTGACAGGAAGAGAAGTCAGGGTCAAAGTTAGAACATGGGGCTGAATGTGCAGATGCTCGCCAGTCTGAACTATGCCAGCCCCACGCTGCCAGCCCCACACAGCCTGCAGGAAGAGTGAAGTCTGGGAAAATATTCCACTGGGGGGGATTACTTATATGGTAAAAATGAGAAATGATCTTACAAATTCATTTTCAGTAGCCCTATTAAGTACCCTGATCCTCACATGATCCACACATGTCAAAACATGTAACCCAATTTCTTTTGAATCCTGTTTGTTTTCTACAAGCTGGGAAAAAAAGCAAATGGCACTGACTTTGAAATATCAGTGCAGACATGAAGTCTATGTTCCGGATAAAAGTCATAGCAAGTGGATCTTGATAGTAAAAGGAAGTTACAGTTGACTGAAGCAGGAGTCAGTAAAGGCACTGAAGCTAGACTCAAAGACCTGGGCATGGTGGCTGAAGAGGCAGAGGCTGCCTGGAGCTTGGTGGGTCAGCCCCTTCCCAGCCACACCCACCACTGGGGCAGGATGAGAGTCCCTGTGGGGTGGAGGTAAGCAACCGAAACTGTCTACCTTGTAGGGCTCGCTGAAGAGGGAGTAGCTGGAGTTGAACGTGCCACCATCCTGTTGAGTTTCTTGGTTTCTTCTTTCCCGTTCTTTCCTCCGTAACGCATTCCTATCTGGCTCATAGACACTGGATCAGGAGAAAGAAAAGAAAACAAACCCAAACATCACAGGGGGAAGCCCAGGGCACCGTTCACCTGCGTGCAGACATCTAGGTGATGGACAAACAGCAATAACAATGAGAACACAGCCTGACAGCAACCTCTGCTCAGAGGAAAATGTCCTTAGAACAGGCTTCCACGAATGTGAGGCTTCTCTGCTTGAGACAGGAAAGAAGAACCATGTAAACCACTTTGACAGGAGAAGACAGAGCAATCAGAAGGCAGACGGTAATTACAGTGATGTGTAAATAGGAATTATGAGCATACTTCCTCTGGTGACACAGCCTGGGAGTGTTATATGGGAATGCTGCTGTTTGGGAATTTCTTTTTTTTTTTTTTTTTTTTTTTTTTTTTTTGCACGGTTGTTTCTGTAGTGATTCTCTCATTAACTAGCTCCCTAAAGAGCTGTTACGACTCCATGGCCCAGTGGTTCCCACAGCGATGAGCCGTCTCCTGATCTCTGCTAATCAGTCAGCTCCTCAGACGAGTGAATCACTTCTCCCTCCTGATCCTTTTGACACGATGGCTCCTCCTAACTACACTTCCGGATGACTCGGAGAAGGGAGAGAATGGAAGCTGAATTATGCTGTGTCGTCCAGCAGTGTGGCCTCTTGGTTGAAGAAAATGAATATTCTCCCAAAATACAAGTATCAAGAAGCCACACCCCAGAAAACGGGAGGAATGACAGGAGAAATCAAGTTCCTCCTCGAATAAGGACAAAATAAAGGGGCCAGTGCAACTGGCGACCGCAAGGGACCTATTGTTTGGTGGAAGGAAAACTGCTGGTTTTCTCGAGCCCACTGGATTCACAGTGACACTCGAAGCAGTGTGGCACTACCAACCAGAAAAACTAAGGTGGCTCTCAGAGGCTGGCCCTGACCTCCCTCCCTGCAGAAGTGTTTAATGCTTATGGCCTCGCCCTCACTGTGTAGTGCTCTCACTGTGTAGTGCTCCCACTTGGCCCAGAGGACTGAGGCGGGGACCAGGACACCTACGACCACCTGGAGCTGTCCCCTCACCCAAAGCAGGTGACAGGAAGCTGCTCAATTTTTCTCCAGACCCCAGTGTCTGTTAAAATGCAGGGATGTCTTACAGTGCTGTCATGGGGTGTCCACACGAAGGCGATTTATAAAAAGAGTTTTGCAACTGCTTTAGTGCTTCCAAATCCCAGCGTCCTGCTATGAAGGTAGGGTGAATAATAAAGGGGTCTGTGCATGCCAAAGAATTTAGGAAAACAAAATTTTTAAAGCTACATAGCTATCTGTAGGAAAAGAGAGTATTTGTGTTATGTAGTTGCATGCAAATAACACAACTGTAAAATGAGTACTGCTTGTCCTAGCTCTGCCTGTGTGGCCAGCACACATAGTTTAAATTCTTGGTCTGCGGAGTGATGCAAAACATGCTTCTGGCAAGGCTGCTCTGGCCCCTAAGGCATTTAATTTAAATTTAAAATTAGGGAATGTTAAAATATCCAGAACAGGGAGACTATTAGCATTTTAATTCATCTTTAGTGCATTACTCAAAGTTATTAGGTTTGAGACTCCAACCACTGTCCTTCAGGTAAGGGAGGCTGTAGGCTCTGGAATCTTCTACTGACCCAGAGGTTCACAGCTCCAATATCACAGTCAGTTTCTGGGGAGGCTGTGGTGACAGTGACTGTGGAGGCCTTAGGTTGAACTGATACTGTCATCCCCAGAACCAAGCTTCAGGGTATGAGAGGAGGATGCAGATGCCCTGCCCTGCTAGTGGACATCTATCAGATGAAAGCCCAGTCTTCAGGAATATTCCATGGATTGCAGACAGAGACAGCTCTGAGGACACATGATTGGTGCCACGGATGAGAGAGAAGAGGGCTTTAACCAATAGGAGAATTCTGGTTCTATTATGAACTTGTAGATTTTAGTGCAACATTAGGATTTGCACTAAAATATTAATAATAATCTCAATAATGATAAAAGGTTTGAATTGCATATCAGAACTCTCCTCTTGTCTCCACCCAGGATGTGGAACTTCACAGAGACCTCTGTAAACATGCTAGCCACCCACATCAGGTCATGCCAACCAAACACACAGGACAGGTGATTCATGATGTGGCTTTATGTAAGATGACACAGGCAGGTGGTCATTTAGGGTGAAGCTGGGCTCCTGAGACAGCCCCATGCTCAAAATACTACCTCCTGCATCTGCTGGCTGATGGCTGAAACTCAACAACTAGGGAATCATTCCTCTGGTTTAAGATGTCTTCACCCCTGTAAGAAATGTAAACACCACAAGAAGAGAAAACACTTTAAACCTGACCAGCCTTCATTCTGTATCTCAGTGTGAGGGCATTTTTCAGCATTTTTCCCAAAGGCCAAAGGGGAAAGACACAAGGATATCAGTGTCCAAAGACAGTCCCAATGTGGGGTGTGATAGAAAAGGCAAAGCCAAGGGAGAATGTGGAAAAGGAATTACACTCTCTACTTTTTCTGCTACACGGCATGGATGTTTAAGGCAAAGGCCACAGGATAAATGCCTGTGAATTCAGAATGAATTCAGAATGCCTGTGCAGAATGAATTCAGCACAACTCAGGATCATACATTCCCAGAGTCTGGGAGGAAAGAATAAGTCGTAATCTGCAAAAGCTGGAGACGTGGGGAAGCTGCTCCTCTCTAACTCATCTGCCCTGCTTCCAAGGCTGCAAGTTTGAGGGCGCAGCTCGCTCCGAGTGGCTGTGAGCCTGGAGCTCCTCACCCCAGGCAGGGATGGACCATCCCTGCATGATCTCCTAACGGAAACACAGCGCCATCCTCACAGGGGTCCGCCACAGAGCTTGTGCTGTGCCTTCCTGTGATGGGGTACACAGTCAGTCAGGTGTGCCTGATCTTACCATCCCCACTTCTTCAAAGGACATAAGGAAACGTAAAAGCGAGCCCAGCCTGCTCCCACATCTCCCTGGTGTCTCTCCCCGTTCCCTGGTCCCTCATCCTCACAGGCAGCTCTTGTAAGCTCCACTGAGCTTCAGCCCTTCCTGAAGGTGCCCAGCCCACTCCTTCTCCTCCAGCACCACAACCCACGCAGGTTATTTCAGACCAAGAGAGTTAAAAAGTCACCTGCTGCAAGAAATGCCATGGTACAAGGAAGTCAGGATGCCCCCCCCACTCCACCCTGAGCTCGCACCTTCCCACCAACACTAAATGTTCTGAGTCATAAAGACAGTGGCTGCTCAGAGAGCCCACAACACCCCTAATTACAAGTGAAACACGTGCAAGTGCTCGCAAGCCCACCGAGCACCTTTCTCTTCATCTCCTGCCATGAAAGCTTGGCCTGCTTGGTTCCTCTGCTCCCCAGGCATCACAAAGACCACAGCGTCTACTTTGGAAGTGAAGAGCTCCTTTCGCCCCACTTGCTGAAAGCCAGGTCAGATTCCCTGGGGAGGCTGACTTAAGTTTTAAGGAATCCGATTCCTGGCAGGCCAGTGTACACATTGAACTCAGTGAGACCCTGTGTTACCAGCGAATGGTAAAAATCTGTATCCCTGTGAAGTTATTCCTTCTTTCCATAAAAATTACAGGAACCCCCCCACCAAATGTCTATCACTGAATGTATTTATTTATTTGGCATAAAAGTGGAGGAGTCAACTGCCATGATATGATTTATTACTTATTGCAGATGCAGAACATTCCTAGAAAAGAAGCTTTTTAAGTCATCTCTTTTAAAAGGCTTATTTTTAGATTCTTTAAAAAACACTAAATGAAGAATGTAGTGAAAACATTTATGATTATTTTACCTTTTTTATTTCTTTGTGAAACTAGGAATTTGTTTTTAATCTACAAATAGATTCCCTGGAAGACTCAAACCAAAGCCAATTGTGGTGACTGAGAAAGAAGTGATGTCTACACATAAAATTATCTTTTCCAAAATTAATCCATTTGTAATTCTATAGTAGCAGCATGAAACTAAATAATAATAACAACAATAATATGAGTTCAACAGCTTTTCCCTTCTAAGGAGCCCAAAACATTTTATTTGTATGCCCATTCATTATCCTTATGATGTCTCTTCGAGAAAGATGGGAATGGTCTTATTACTAGGTTAACTTTTTAATTTAAAGCTCAAGGAACTAGCTCAGAGGCATGGCACCTGCCTGGCAAGCTTGAAGCCCTGAGTTCAATTCCCAGTACAATAAATAAATAAATAATGTAAAATAAATCTCCAGGAACTTAAGATTTTGATCGCCAAACTGCTGTCATGAAGAGGACATTGTATAGAAGGAATGGTGATATCCAAAATACTGTATTCACCAGTACCTCGAGGAGAAAAGCTACCCAAGAGCTGTAACCTAGACCTGTGACACAGGATGGATGAGCAAATAGAAAAATGACAGATTCTAAAGCAGGCCAGCTAGCGCAGTGGGCATTCCCATTCTCATCAAACCTGGTCATTCACCAGCCTGCTCCTGTCTCTCGGAGCCAGCTCAGCCCCTCCCCAGCTGTGCCCCAGTGACCCATTGTCCAGCTGGCCAGGGGGCACTGTCACACAGCAGAAGGCATGTGGTGAAGAGCATGCCAGTCAGCAGGCACCCAGCAAGGAAGAAGCCAGAAGGTTCAGGGAGGCCAGGCATGCTCTTTTATAAAGCTCACTCTCAGCCACTAACCAGAGTCCTGACGACTATCTTAATCCCTGTCTAAAGTAGAGTCCCCAAAGGCCCGGTCACCTTCCACTAGGCCCCACCCCTTCAAGGTTCTTGCACCTCAACACCTTATGTGGGGACCAAGCTTCCAGTACATGACTTCCTGGAGAAACACTGAAACCGTATTAAGACCACAGCAGGGTCTAAATAACAGGCAAATTTAAGGACATAAGAATGATGGACCTCTCTTCTACCTTTCAGACAAAGTTACCACTTTATCCATGCTTAAAAATCAGTATCTTTTTCAAATAGCAAAAATATGAGGTAAGAGCATTTTGCCCGAAAGCATTTCCTGAACCCCAGCACATCATTTACTGGGGAGATAATGAGGGCTGTGACTGACCTGTCCCACTGCTGCAAAACGAATCTAGAGGGGAGAAGTAGAGGAGAAGGGAGATGTGGGGTGTTGGCAGCAGACATGCTGGGCGTCATGTTTTCAGGAGAAAACAGGGCATAAGGGGCCTCCAACAGATCAGTCTTGAGCTGAGTCCTAAAAAGGGGCAGACGGAGGAGGGGAGAGAAGAAGAAGAATTAAAAGGTTCCATATACTTGGATTACATTAAGTGGCCTTTGACAGTCTGCAAAGGAGATGACTTCTGCCCTCTCCGCATCACATTCTCTAACAAGCCGGAATCTATAACTCATGTTCAAGAGCTTGGTTTGTCCACTGCTAGTCCATCATAACTACATCCCTCTAAACAGGTTCACCTGAACTCTTCCTCAGCGCACACTTGGTTTGGAGTCAAGGAGTGAAGGGCAGATGCGAAGGAAAACACAGAGAAACTTTCTCCCCTTCTGCACAGTTTGCATCGGGTGGGCCCTGACGAGCCAGCTACAGAGGAGGCATCTCTTCAAATACTTAAGTCCTGGGACAGCAATAAACACAGCCTTGGGGGATGGTCTGCCACAGGAAGAAGGGCAAACAGGAAGAAGGAAAGGCGAGGGCGGAGGGGAGATGACTGTTTCCCAGGAACCCTCCTACTCCCTCATCAGCAACTGCATATATTACAGAAATGTAACCAAACACTCCAAAATTATAACAATTGTTTTAAATTTAATGAGTCAAGCTAATTAGCATCTCTTGTTATTTATAAAGCAAATGACAAACGATCAGTAATCCTTTCTTGGAGAAAAGCAAGGCGGTACAATTGTGCTTGCACATCCCTTCCCCCAGAGGCAGGGCTGGTGGACAGGAAGGCAGGAAGGAAATGGGGAGATGAGAGGGTGGCAGAAATGATTCAGGCAAGGAAGGTGAGGTCAAAGGAAGGGCTTGGCCAAAGGGCAAGGATCGCCCAGGTGTGACCCCTTCAGCAGGTGTGGTGCTGGAGGTGGGGATGGCGCTGATGGTGCTGATGATGATGGCAGTAATGGTGGTGGTGACGATGGTGGTGGTGGTGGCTGTGCTCATGGTGGTTTTGATGGTGGCAGCAGTGCATAAAGACTTCTGAAGAGTCAGTGATTCACATAGCAAATGACTGAGTGCTGAGAATGTTACCATGCCCCTGTCTAGTGTATACTTGGCTCTTGGATTCTTCTTTTCATGCCAAGTAATTTCAGCCCCATGTAAGTTCATTCTGTATGTCCTAGTCCCTGCACCATTGCTCACTGCATCACCTGCCCTGTGGCTTTGTCTTACTATGTATTCTCGAAAAAGCTTAGCCCAAAGTTTTGTTTATTTGTTTATGACTACGAATGATATCTCAACTTTAAGCCAATTTCAAAAGTACACTCTAGAAGCACTGGTAGACCTCTGTTTTAGGCTTGTCAACCCATTGGTCCAGAAATGGGATTAGATTGAGGATGTTGGGTGTCATAATCACTTGTGTACCACCCCTTTTGGGAAACAGACATCAAAGGAAATCACAAAACAGCACACACGCATAGGTACATTAAGCGCAGGTACTCCAAATGAAACTTACAGTAATCGAGGCCCTCTTTCCAGAGCTGTCCAACCCATGTAAAACTTTGCTAATACCAACAGCTACTCCACAGTGGGTTCTTCCATTTCATAATCTTGAAAAGCCCAAGGGACATTATCTCCATTTACCAATGAAGCAACAAGAGGCTCCAAGGTTAACTAAAGCGTCCAAATCCCGCAGCCAGCAAGCGACATCCTTCCCTGGAAGCCAGGCTGTCTGGCACCAGACAGAATTCTCAGACTCTGCTGGACTGCCTCCCTGGGGAACAGCCCCCTGACAAGCTCTGACAAATGGCATCCCCATCCTTTGCTAGTGAATGCCTGGCAAAGGGGTATTAATTCTCAGATCATGACTCTTTCCATTCATTCCTTTAAGATCTGCTCAGCCTCCATGGTTGATATACACTAACTTTAAGAATTTTTCTAAAAACCAATAAAATAAGACTGGGGTTCCCATTTCCCATGAGACAGGGCCAGAAACTAAGTAATATTCAACCCTTGAATTTTTTCGAACATGTTTCAGAAGCTACCAGGTAAATCGATTCCCCATCTTTATCCATTCTTAATAGTGGAATCCTATATTCTGTATTCCTGGAAAGCGACATTTTATTTTATAAAATGTCATCAGAACAATGTGAACACATCACAGCTGCAGGCC